GGTCTTAGGCTCCAGAACTCATGCTCTATGCTCCGGTCAGAACCAAATTTTTTTAGCCCTGAGATACATCATGATCCCTTCCACATCTCACTGCATCTTTGCCTGGCTGATTTCTTCTCACCCTGGGCACACGAGCTGAGATATAAAGCTCTCATACAAAGGAGGAGTCCTCCCTGACCCTTTAAATCACACTGGGTACCTTTACTATCTGTTCTCATGACACACTTGGCTTTACCCTTCTAACATTTTCCACACTAAAATGTTAATATTTGTTTAGCTGCTTGTTTCCCTCATGGTGGGGGGGAGGGGTAGGCGGGGAGAATTAGAATATATACTTGATTTTATATTTCCCGGGCTTCGGCAGAACCCATGAGGCTCAGAAGAGGTTAAGCAACTAATTCACACATTCTAAAGTAGGAGAAATCACACATGGACAGCTTTTCTCTTTGTCCAGATTGTGTTTCAATTTTTTGTGCTCATACATCTCCTAACCCTCCACGTCCATCTCCTCAGGCCGCCGGATGTGTGCTGGTGAGTCACTGGCCAAGATGGAGCTTTTCCTGTTCTTCACCAGCCTCATGCAGAAGTTTACCTTCCAGCCACCCCCCAGGGTCTCCCATCGGGACCTGGACCTAACCCCAGACATTGGCTTCAACACTCGACCAATGCCTCACAAGCTATGTGCCCTGCTCCAGGCCTAGGCTCTGCATTGCAAGCTGCAGCCCCAGTTCTTGATGGGGTCCTCAGCACTAACTCCCCTTTTCTGCATCATCAGCCACATCATTGCAGAGGGTTCTCATGTGAGATCAGACTGATTTCCTGGGCTAATCAATGTAGTGGATGCCTCCTTGCTGTCATTCTCTAAGACAGAACATGTGACAACTAGAATCTTCACTTCCTGCTCTAAGGTCTTTCTTTTAAACCAAAACTGTCCTTTTCCTCCAATGCCTATGAGACATTTAAATATCACTGAATAAACTACTGAAAAAACTACTGAATCAGTAGTTTTAATTGGTTAGGGCAGGATGACTATATAATTAATGTTTTGTTCTAATATGTCCATGAACATCTTCAAAACTGCAATGAAGAAAATTCAACTTTTAAGTGAGGATCACACTAAACATAAGACATATAAGACATTGGATCATTCTGTGAATAACCAAAAAAGGGTGGTTAACAACGGATAATTGCTCATGAGTATTGTCAGTTTGCTGAGGTCAGCAAGCGAATGCTTCTGCTCCTGACGTAACTGGAATTTGCAGGCCCCACTTCCCTGCGCCCCATGCTCTGAAGGCACACGCAAGACCCACGGGCTGCAGAATAACAACATCACGGTCAGTTCCCCTGAGACACAAAGCATCTTCAGCCTTTATGAAGTCAAATGTATCTCCCCATCATCAACATAAATGTTTCTCTCCTGCTCTTATCTGATCCCTGTCATAGCAAAACTGGCACTGGATAAAGTTAACCCATCAAGCAAGACTTTGAGCCTATTGTCATAGAGGAAAGACACCAGAACTTCGACCGAACTCAACTCCGCTGAAACACGGGGAGAAGGGTTTTTAAGCGTGTGGTGAGCTGGTAGAAAAGCTCTTGTGATGAGTGGGGAGGTTGATCAATATCCTATATCCCTACGCTGAGTTACTCCCTAATTTGCACATTTTTTTCTCTAGGATTAGGCCATTAGTGTTTGCTAATTAGCCTCCATTGAAGTTTAGCTCCTACTCTTCCAGAGACAAGGAGATGGGGTGCTGACTTCCTTGATGACCACATTTCAAAGGGAGAGATCTCATGTCCTTGAGAAAGACATTCTTGGGTTGTAAAACTGGTAAGAGATTTTTTTTTTTTTTTTAAAGCTTTACAAGTCAAAGGGGCAGAGAAAGAATTTGTAAGTGAAAGTTTTCTCATGTAAATGCCCTAAGAAAATGGAAGTCAGGGCCTAGAGCCAGGAAGAAACCTGTCTAAAGTTGAGCCAAACTGAGAGGAATGTTAAGTCCTTCCTGGTCATTCCCAAAGCAGCATTTTCCACAAAGCCTTTTTAGAATGAGTCAGATGGGGGGAGACTCAGCTTCTCTGACTTTGTTGACCTAATAAACAAAACCGTCAATGACAAAGAAATGGGACCTGCTAATTTTAATTTATTGTTTGAACACATTCAAGTGCGAGTAGCTGCACTTTCTGAGTTGCCCTTAGTACCTAACTGGTGTTCAATAACCTATCAGGGAATTCTCAGTCCAAAGTCAACATGAATTTGTGGACTGCTTTCTCTCATGAAGGGAACAGAAACCGTTGTTTCTGTTAGAGAGCAGGAAATCTTGAGTTTTAATTCCAACCCGTTTAGTCCCCCATGTTTGAGACTTTATGACCACATGTTGGCAGTGGTATACATGGTGAATCTGGCACCCAAAGGAAGATAATTTTTATTTATTTATTTATTTATTTATTTATTTATTTATTTATTTATTTATTTTTTAAAAGATTTGAGAGAGACAGCGAGAGAAGGAACACAAGCAGGGGGAGTGGGAGAGGGAGAAGCAGGCTTCCCGTGGAGCAGGGAGCCCGATGCGGGGCTCGATCCCAGGACCCTGAGATCATGACCTGAGCCGAAGGCAGACGCTTAACGACTGAGCCACCCAGGCGCCCCGGAAGATAATTTTTAAAACCAGTATGAGACAAGAATGTTCAGGAACAATCATAAAGTAAAACAAATAACTAATCCTTTGGTTAGTCTGATATAATAATAATTTATGTAAAGAACTGTCAAGTAACTGATAAGTAAATTTTAATAAAATTGAAGTGTCTGCAACAAAAACAGAACTATTAAATTATACCACTCATGTAATGTTTTATTTTCTTGATTCACTCTTCAGTTTTTTTTCTTTTTTTTTTAAGATTTTATTTTATTTATTTGACAGAGAGAGAGAGAGACAGCTAGAGAGGTAACACAAGCAGGGGGAGTGGGAGAGGGAGAAGCAGGCTCCTGGCCGAGCAGGGAGCCAGATGCGGGGCTCGATCCCAGGACCCTGGGATCATGACCTGAGCCGAAGGCAGACGCTTAACGACTGAGCCACCCAGGCGCCCCTCACTCTTCAGTTTTAAAATAATGAATAAAAAATGAATTTAATGTTAAATATATTATCCGAATCCAGTAAAATAGTTTATGTCTGAACTAAATTTGCACTTATCAAACAGAAAATATTTCCTTACTTTAATTCTTGTTTAAATTTAATTAACATTTAATTTGTTTCCTTATTTTAAATTTTACATATAATGTCACATACGATGTCAGAATTGAAGTAACTCAACTTCATTTTCCTAATCACTATAGTTGCTATATTAATGTTTATACTGAATCTTGGGATGCAGGACTATGTACAGGATGGAGACACAAAGTGCACTCTGAGTGAGTTCAAGAGATTCTGAACCCTTAGGAATTTACTCTCAAAATGAACACATGTAGTTGATTCCACATATGTGTGAGAGAGATATTAGGGGGACAACATGGAAAAGATCTTTAAATTATCTTCCCCATAGGGGCGCCAGGGTGGCTTAGTTGGTTTAGCGTCCAACTCTTGATTTGGGCTCAGGTCATGATCTCAGTGTTGTGAGATTGAGTCCCCTGTTGGACTCCATGCTGGGTGTGAAGCCTGCTTGGGATTCTCTTTCTCACTCTCCCTCTGCCTCTATACCGTCCTCCTCCAAAAAAAAAAAAAAAAAAAAAAAATCAAAATAAAATTATCTTCCCCATTAAAAAAATGGAAAAGAAAAATTTTAAAGTGTTAATTTCAAGCTTACATCTGTATTATTAAAATTCAAAAAGTAAGCAGCAAGTTTTAAGAATTTAGATCAACAACAGATTTTTTTCAGAAAGGAGTATTTTATCACTAAGCACTTGGTGATGATAAAAGCAGACTTTTAGTCCAGTTTTATCACAGTTTTAGGATCTCTAAAGATGACACACGGCTTATATTTTGCTCCTGGGACAAACCCTGACCATTGCCTAGTCCTTGGCATGCGATTCAATACAGGTCACAGAATCTCCTTTCTTCCACTCCAACCTTTTGATCATAGAATTATTTCACTTATACATTTGCACATTTTCCCACTCAGTTATGTGGGGATAGAAAGACTGTATAACCTCATGTAATATTGTATGCTAATTATACTTCAATTAAAAAAAAAAGACCAGAAAAGAAAAAAAGAAAAGAAAAGAAAAGAAAAGAAAAGAAAAGAAAAGAAAAGAAAAGAAAAGAAAAGAAAAGAAGGACTGCACAGCCTGAACCTTTTAACCTCAGGGATCTGGATTAATACTGAGGCTGGCGTGGGAAATCCACAGGCATGCTCAGGCTTTTCTCTGAGACATGGAGACCAGCTGTCAGAGAATCAATCTTTATGGAGTTGACTATTTACAGAAATCCTCCCTGAAAGTTCTCTTGGTTTGGTAAAAATTATTTGGTGCCCATTATACTCCCCTACCCTTCTCCCAAGTAAGTTGAATTTGGGAATTCAGTTATATCCACGTTTCCATAGACCTAGTCAGCTTTCAAAATTAACTCAAAGTCGGGATGCCTGGGTGGTTCAGTCAGTTGAGCATCAGACTCTTGGTTTTAGCTCAAGTCATGATATCAGGGTCTTGAAATGGAGCCCCCATCAGGCTCTGTGCTCTGTGGGGAGTCTGCTGGAGATTCTCTCTCTCTGCCCCTCCCCTACTCATTCTCCTTCTCTCTCTCACACTCTCTATAAAATAATGAATAAAATAAAAATCTTTTAAAACAAACCAAAAAACTCCAAAATAACCTCGAAGTCACAAGAGTTTTTTTGGAAGGTGGACATATGACTAAGGATAATCCAGTGGGTATAGAATCAGCTTTAACACTCAGGGTTTTGGGCCTGGGGCACATTGTCCAACAAACCAGCCTTAAGATTAGTCTTATGCACCCAACAACCTCAGTGACCACTGGGTAATACCCATGCCCAGGTAGACCCTACACAGCCCTTACCTCAGTAAGGTGGCACTGAGCCATTATGTAGCATTTTGGGTCCGAACAGTCAGGACTGAACCATACCGAAGCATATCTCGCCCCCATGAAGAAACTCCTTGCAATGCTGCACTCCGAATGCTTCCAAGAAATAAATAGAATGTGACTGTCTCCAAAAAGGAATTCTGTGACGAGGTCTTCTGGTTTCTAATTCTGTCTTCAAGACATTCCTAAAATTAATGAAAGACTGAATATAAAAATGGACAATGGCCAGGATATGTACGATACTATATGGAAAAGACAGAAAAGCATCTTCGTAAAAGCCATTGGTTTGGTTTTCATAGGATTTCTTGTGTTATATGTGTTCTGTTCTTTGTTATTCAAGACTAAAGCGTGGGTTAGGATAAAAAGTGAAATAAACAACAGCAGCACAGATAATAATAATAATAATAATAATAGCTAATTTTGTAAAAGGCGAAAGATTTATACGATCTGAAGAGAAACCAGAGTATTATAATAGCTAATTTTGAGTATTATTGTTATTCCAAGTATTTTTACTTACTCTTAGAAAAAATCCCATGAGGCTGATATTATTTATCTGGTTGTAGAATTCTGACCTACAACTTGTAGAGCAAGTAGTTTGGGAACCACAGCTTCTGCTGCCATCAGCCCAGAAAGATCAGAACTTGGGGTCAGTGACTGCTGGCTTCCCTATTCTTTTTGTACCCTTCCAGCTCAGGACACACCAGAGAAAGCCCTAAGTCAATCCTAAAAAAAGTTTCTCTAGATAGCCCAGCTCCAGCTTCTCCATGCTAACAGCTTCCAATCAGAGCATGTATGAACCCTTCCTTTTTTTCACTACTGTCAAAGAAAAATTGTACCAAACAGAATTGACCAGTCCAGGAAGAATTTATTCAAGACTTTATAAAGAAATTTAAGCATTTATTGCAATAGGAGAGCGAGACGGAACTCAACTCCCCTGAAATAAAAGGTGGGGGGAGTTTTTAGCACTGGGTTAAGTCAGTGGAAAAGTACTGGAGGACATTGTAGGGGGACGTTGGTCAATTCAATTAATCCATCTTGTTTGCTAATTGATACTTATTAAGGTAGGCTCTTACCCTCTCCCAGAGACTGGAAGTTAGGGACCCTGTCTTTCTTGATTACATTTCCAAGAGGTGGCTCCCAGGTCCTTGAGGACATTCCTCAGATGCAAAACAGACAGAAGTTGAAAGATTTACATGTCAAAAAGGCAAAGAACGAATTTCCAATTGCAAGTTTCTAAAGAAAATGCTCCAAGAAAAGGGAGGGTCAGAAGCAGTCAGAAAGAAACCTGTCTAGTTTGGTCAAGCTGAGGATAATGTTAAGGTCATCTTGGTCACTTTCCCTCTTCATTGCCTACCTTTGCTTCCCTGCCAAGTGCCAAGTGATGTTGCCCAACTCCCTTCCTGTATCAAACAAGAACCCAATTTTGTGAAGGCTGCAGGCTCCCCAAAAGTATCCATTCTCTCTTACACTTAGAATCTGAATTTGAATTTAAAGTTGATTCCACGCCTTGAAGCTGACCAAGTCTACCATTTTGTTGCTAAATATTGGCAGCTCAAGTGCCTAAGAACCGATTGTGATTTCTTTTCCAAAGTAAACTGCACTTATTGTCTTCTCTTATCTTCATCTAGCAAGGTTATAAAGATTTGCCCTCCCTAATTAAAGAGCAAAGTACTGACTAGAGTTATAAATATACCAGGGTGTCCAAGAGTCACAGCCTTTGTTTTCTCCTCTGAATCAGTTTATTCACATTCAGGCTCCACCTTTCTCCCCACCCCCTCACTATTCGTTAGCAGAGTGCTCAAGGCTGACAAGTCCTGATTCAGCCGCAGATGTGTTGCCAACTGTGCTTTCTTTAACGACTTCCTGCCCTTTTTCCCTCAAGGGGTTTTTAACTAAGTATTGTCGGGGCACCTGGGTGGCTCAGTCGTTGAGCGTCTGCCTTCGGCTCAGGTCATGGTCCCGGGGTCCTGGTATTGAGCCCCGCATTGGGCTCCCTGCTCGGCAGGAAGCCTGCTTTTCCCTCTCCCACTCCCTCTGCTTGTGTTCCCTCTCTCGCTGTATTTCTCTCTGTCAAATAAAATCTTTAAAAAAATAAAAATAATAAAAATAAATAAATAATATTGTCTCACATTCTGAGATAATAAAAGAACCACATTTCAGAAACAATTTGAACTCCAGTAATCAATGTTTCATTATGAAACTTTAGAATAGTAAGACTCTTTAAAAAAAAAAATTTGAAGATTTTTAGAGATCTCCTTGCCAATTCACAAATCAGTATCTATTTCACTCTTTTGTAATGACTAAATGCTTTCCCAATTCTACAAAGTACTATTTCCATGGCATTGTTAACGATTGTTAATGAATGCGGAACAGAGAGAAAATGAAAACTTTCTAGTTTTTGTAAGTGACAAAGTAGGCTATAGAACTAAATATGGCATGTATATATCAATGCTTCTCAAACCTTAATGTGAACCAACCAGGGATCTTGTCAGAATGCAAATTCTGATTCAGTAGATCTGTACTGGGGTCTGAGAGTCTGCATTTCTTTTTTTTTTTTTTTTTTTAAGATTTTATTTATTTATTTGAGACAGAGAGAATGAGAGAGACAGAGAGCACATGAGAGGGGGGAGGGTCAGAGGGAGAAGCCGGCTCCCTGCCGAGCAGAGAGCCGGATGCGGGACTCGATCCAGGGACTCCAGGATCATGACCTGAGCCGAAGGCAGTCGCTTAACCAACTGAGCCACCCAGGCGCCCCATGAGAGTCTGCATTTCTAAGAAAATATTCTTAGAGTTGCCCATGCTCCTGGTTCCCCTTGAATAGTATCAGTATACCTTGGTTTATAATACTTAGATTTTATATATAGCTTATACCAAGAAAATGTAAGGATATAGGTATGTATACACATACACATAAAAAATAGAATAAAATACACATGAAAAAATGGGATAAAATACATAAAACAAGACTGGAAATGTACCAAATATTAAGAGATTTGGGTCATGGGTGAATTTTTCTTTTACTCCCAATTTTGTTTTTTCCTCACAAAATATTTCCTCAAACTTTTCTGCAGTGAATACAACTTTTTCTTTTAACAGGAAGATTTGTCTTTCTCCTTTTTTACAAGCAAAAAGGCGCATTAAGTAGTGGTGATAACCAACAAGAATAAGAACAGCAAGTAAAATGTAATGAATCTCAAAGGTGGTGGAGGTTGTGGACATAGGTGGAGGTTGTGGACAAAGGTTTTCAGAGAGGTCAACACTTGCCTAATGGTGGTTGTGTGAAATTTGCCTTATGGTCACTTGAGTGGCCAGGTGGTTTCTGAAAGTCCTTGCTATGATTCATCCACCTAAGGCAATTTCAGAGGGTCACATTTTTACGCAAAGTGGAGGTAAGACCTAAGAGCAAAGACCCAGACATTCTCAGGAGATTTCTTCGTATTGGGACACTCGGATTTCACTTTGGATTCACTCCCAGGACACTGTGAATGCGAAAAGACTCCTCAGGCTCCTCACACAACTGGGTTCTGCTTGGATCAGGAAAACCTGTGAAGCAAATTCAACAGGACTTCAACTTACTACTTTGTATCAGGGAGATACCGGTTTAAAGGAAATCGGTTAAGTACGTTGTAAGCAGCTAACTAGGAGGTTGGTGAGTGCTTTAAAAATAACTTTTAGGGGAACCTGGGTGGCTTAGTCAGTTAAGTGTCTGCCTTTGCCTCAGGTCATGATCTCAGGGTCCTGGTATCCAGTCCTGCATCTGGCTCCTTGCTCAGCAGGGAGCCTGCCTCTCCCTCTGCCACTCCCCCTGCTTGTGCTCTCTCTCTCTCTGACAAATAAATAAATAAATAAAACCTTTAATAAATAAAAATAAAAATGACTTTTATTTGAGATAAAATTAACCTAAACATATCTGGACTAAAAGAGTTAAGCTGACTTGAAGAAATACATTTTTGACAGAAAGGAGATAAAATGAAAACTGCGTCTATTCTGTTTTTCTGAGACAACAGGGCATCAGATTTCAAATCCCAGAGGGAAAAGAAACCTGACACCTAAAGAAAGTATTTAAAACTCCTACAGCCCAAGGTGAACTAAGTAGACTTGAAACCTCCTCAAAGACCCTGTCAAGCAATGTGTACCTTAGGCTGTTGAATCATAGGATAAATATCACAAGATGTGGAGGTCATTTCTAAGAAATTTAAGGATGTATTTACTGATCCACTAATGCTGGGAAAAGCTAGGGAGAAGTTTTTTTCTTTCAGGAATGCAGAAAAGAATCAATAAAAATCACCAGTTGGATTGTACAGGATTCCTTGTGTTGTATGCCTTCAACTGTTTTTTATTAAAAAAAAAAAAACCTAGGGCGCCTGGGTGGCTCCGATGGTTAAGCGTCTGCCTTCGGCTCAGGTCATGATCCCAGGATCCTGGGATCGAGTCCCGCATGGGGCTCCCTGCTACGCGTGGAGCCTGCTTCTCCCTCTGCCTCTGCCTCTGCCTCTCTCTCTCTCTCTCTCTCTGGCTTTCATGAATAAATAAATAAAACATTAAAAAAAAAAAAACCTAATGCCTACTTGGGATGAAAAGTGAACTAAACAATTACAACAACACTAATAGTAACAGCTAACTTTGAGCATTCATTATATGTGAAGCATTATTCTGAGTATTTTTCATTTAACTTAATCCTAGAAAAAAACCTTATGAGGTTAATACTATATATTATCTCTACTTAACAAATAAGGACACAAAGGCACAGAGAGATTAAGCACTTGCCCAAAGTCACAGTTAGTAAGAAGTGGGACAGTTTTGAACCCAAGAAGCTGAACTTCAGAGTTGGCCTCCATAGAGAAGGCAACCAAATGATGTTTTGGTCCATGTTAAGGAGGTTTTTCTTGCTGACTATATATTCAATGCTCAATCACTTGGGGGCATATAATGACTCACAACCAAATTCATCAAGTCAGGCCTGAAAACTGTCTGCCAATAAGTTTAACCTCACACAGAGGCCAAAGCAGTTGGAGGAAAAGATAATTCACTTCATGGGGCCTATATTACTTTTTCTACTACCAAGTAGCTTTGAACACAGATGAGGTCAGGTGCTACATTCTTCCCTCAAGTGTGGGTCTCATAGTCCTAAGAACTGCCAGTGGTGATCCTCCAGCCAAAAGGCCTTGCAGAACTCATGGGCATTAAACTATTTCTAGCACGTCCCATAAACATGAGTCAGAAAACCCAGGATGCCCTGTCATCTTTTGACTCCTTTCAAGTAAGTACCACTGAAGGCCATTCTCAAACCTTTAGAAGGGAGAAGATCGTATTCTTTTTTTTTTTTTTTTTAAGATTTTTATTTATTTATTTGAGAGAGAGAGAATGAGAGAGAGCACATGAGAGCGGGGAGGGTCAGAGGGAGAAGCAGACTCCCTGCCGAGCAGGGAGCCCGATGAGGAACTCGATCCCGGGACTCCAGGATCATGACCTGAGCCAAAGGCAGTCGCTTAACCAACTGAGCCACCCAGGCACCCGAGTAGATCGTATTCTTATCTACTTAGTAAGCCTATGCAATTACCAGCTGTGTGACTTACCCAAGCCACATGACCTCTACACCTAGGTTGGTTCGTCTGTAATACAGGGATGTATCTTACCTATCCTGTCTGCCAGGAGGCAAGAGGTGGATCAGATTATATTTGAGGGCATTTCAAACTCTAAACTGAAAATAAAGAGCACAGAGCGAGGAGTGACGTAGGGGGCACTGTTCAACAGTTTACTCTTCAAAAGCCAGCATCCCACTTACCTTGTTAGTTCTTGCTGTAACCAAATACTCCTTCAGCAGTGCTAAAGTCAAGCAGTTCACCTCTAGAGGGAATGCTTTGCTCCTCACAGATCCCCAACCAGAGCACACTACTACAGAGTTAATAAAAATGGTGTTTAATAAAAAAGAGGAACAAATAAAAAGACTTATTTCAATAGCACAAGAGACTTTTTTTTTTCCAACAGCATCAAGAGAGATGTATTTTCAACCCGGTTTTGAATGCAAATAATAAGAGACTATGGACAGAAGTTAAGATATACAATTATTTTATGGCAAACTATATATTATCTACCTTTAGATCAGACTTATCTGTCATATTTAAAATATTAAAATAAATAAAAACCAGATAAAAAGCATTTTTACTAGACTAGATACTTTGGGGTAGTAAAGCCCCTTTAAATGGCATTTAACCTTCAGAGCTGGGTCTTCCGTTCTCCCCCTCTTCTTTTCCTAGTTATTTATTTTTTTTCTAACACTTAATGAAAAAAAGAAAAATGTGCACATCAGAAGAAAGTAAAAAGGAAAGATTTTGTTTACCTGCTGCTTTATTTTAATTTTCCTATTCCTTTTTACTTTCTTTTTCAGCTTTAAAACAAGCCTCTCTCCCCATCTACTCCCACTCCCTTTGAATCAAACTTCACTTCTGATTTTAGGTCTTAAAGAGAGAGCGGGGAGGCAGGGAAAGAGATCATTTGAGATGTATTGCAAAGTGAGAATTAACAACAGATTTTATTTCAAAGGGCCCACAATTCACCAATCTGAAAATACCTCTCTTTCCCCTCTTCCAATGACTTAGGTCCCGAGACCGTCACAGTATTTAAGACACAAAGGAGGTATTACGTTGCTCACAGTTCTGCATTCTGTCTGGAGTGTCATCTGCCTCCTTGCTGCGCTGCCCCAGCCTTACAAAAGGTCCTTGCTGTTGGTTAATTACAGGTTGGCGCTCCCGGAAGAGCATTTTCTTAGAGGCTTATCGCTCACCCACCAGCCCGCAACATTCCTAAGGCTCCTCTTTCCTGTTTCATATCCTCGGGCAATCCAGTCCTTGGGGACCGTGAGGTGATCTCCCCGCGGCATGGACGCGGGGCGCCTCTCCCTATGCAGGGAGAGCCGGTGGTTCTCCGGAGTCCCGGCGCCCCACAGCCTGGTGCTTCACTCCCTGTTGGTGCGAAAAGTGATGGCGCTCATGGAGTGCTCCTCGGTCCGGGCGGTCATTTGGCCCTTCGTCCATGAGGTCCACAGGACTTCTTCTGTCACCTGATAGTCCACAATCCGCACAAGCACGGACTTGGGTGGGGATGCGGGGTCCCGCGGCAGGGCTCTGAAGGCAGCGTCTCCACGGCTGCCAGAAATTCGCTCTTCTCGTGGAAAGAGAGACGGGCAGTCGGGTGCCCGGTCCTCTCCGGCCGCCTGGTCCTCCCCACCGGCCACGTCTTCCCGTGCACGGCCCCCTGGAGTCCCCAACCATCTCTCTGGGTGCAGAAGAAACAGCACTTTCTCTCTGACCCACGGCTCGCAGTCCAGGTTCTCAGCGGCCGGGCTGTTCTCGGGAGCGCCGCCTCGACTTCCGCTCGCCCTCGGCCCCGCTGCCGCCCCCGTCACCGCGGGACTCCGGGCACCGGGAGCCAGGGGAGCCCCGCGCCGCAGCTTGCGCGGAAAGGAGCCGGCGCGCCCCAGGATGCCCGGAGCGCCCGCGAGACTCGCAGCCCCGCGGGGCCCCGAGGCCCCCAGCCCAGCAGGAGGCTCATTCATCCGTTGGCTCTTCAAACGGTCCACGCAGCCAGCTCCCGCTGAGCTCGGAGGGCGCGGCACGGGCAGGACTTTCTGAGGCACGCCCGGCCAGAGACCAGCTCGGTGCTGACCCCGCCTCCTGGCGCCTCCCAGTCGCGTCCGCCTCGGCCCTGCCAGCCTTTGAGAGACAAAGAGCCTGACGTCCCGGCAGTCGCGCCTCTCTCTCCTTCTTTCCCTCGCCCCCCTCTGATGCTTCTGTCGTAGTTCTCACTCTACGCCCTCTTGCATCTCAGCTGTACTCCATTCCCACCTTCTGTTTTCCTCCCGGACAGAGGCGCAAAAGACACTTCGCACAGCGCCCCCACCTGAAAGGCCCGCGACAAAGCGCCCTCTTCTTTCCCAGGACGCGCCTCCCAGGTGAAGAAACAAGGAAGTGTTCTGGTCTTAATTATCTGACTTAATCAAATTCTTGCGAAAAGGTTTCGTGTTCAGTCCCAATCCATCCCTACTTTGCTGCCAAGATTATCGGATGTAGATCTAGGGAGTCGACTTTGAGAAAACGGTTCTTCCTTTGGGACGCAGGATCTGTGGGACAGGGGTCGCTCCTGTCTTCATATTGGTTATAATCAATGCTCACTCCAGGAAGGGGTGTGGTGCTTTGGATCGAACAGAAACAAAACAAAAACAAATCGCTAAATGAATGTCTTCAGGATTTAAAATTCTGTGTTCACGTCGTTTTTTTTAAACTTACCCCTTCACTCCTCCACTCCCTTTCTCTTTAACCCCAGCGGTTAAAAGAAGTAGGTCTCTCAAATTCTGGAAGAAAATAAACAGGGTGTATTTCTGGGTAGACTTTTGGAATCTGCTCATTGGCGAGCACACTGACACATTAATCTTTGGCTGGGGTTAACGGGGGAAACTATAGCTAATGGAAAAAAGGGGAACTTCGTTTGGGATTGCCAGTCCATCCTTAGTAACAGGTGTTTGTTTTACTAGCAAACGCTCACTGTTTTCCCTATCTACTTTAGAAAAATGACTGCAATGGTGGAAATTTCTACCCCTGTATGAAAGACCAAGTAGTGTGGTGAAAGAGATATTTTGGAAAGAGAGGACCTTCTGATGTTTGCCAAGTCATTCATATATATATATATATATATATATATATATATATATATATATATATATATACACACACACATATATATACACACATACATAAGTGTTGAAGGAGTGAGAAAATCTACGTCAGATCTGGCTGGCTTTGGGCTGGTTACTGTTAAATGACAAAGTTTTTAAGTGTTTTAGACCAGAATTGTTCTAAGCACTCTATATATTTAAATTCATTTATTCTTCACAACAAACTAAGCAAGTAGTACTATTACTATAGTCTCCTTGAGAACTTTGAGGAACAGGGAGGCTAAGTATTTGTCCAAAATCAAGCACCAATAAATAATGGAGCCAGGATTCTAGCATGTTTAAATGCTTCCTCCTATTTCCTGTTAGTCCTATTTTAAGCCTATGACTTCATGTTCTTTTCTGTTCATTCACTCAACCAGTAATTACTGAATGTGTGATAAATGAATGTCAGCCAATATTCTAGATGATGGGGACATCTGGGAGAATAAGCCAAATTGCTTGTCCTCTTGAAGTTTTCATTCTACAAAACCCTTGTCCAAAAGTAGGATATAATACCTTAACTTTAATGTACACAAAAATCACCTGAGGATTAATGCCTTATTCTGCTCTGAAAGATTCTGTTCTTATAGAGTTGGGGTAGCACTCAGAGTATGGATTTTGAGCAAGCCTCCCAGTTATTCTGATGCTAGTGGTTCACGGACAGCATTAGGAGAAACATCACCAAAAATCTACATGATAAACTCTAAGCCTTTTTTTTTTTTCTTTACTGCTTTCAAGTGGCAATAACACTGCATTTTCCTTCCTTGCAGGAATATTGAGAGAATTTCAATGAAAGTGTTTGTATTTTGAGGAAAATATAATGTAAAACAAAAAATGTATTACTTTTAATTTTTTTTTTCCTTTGGAGATTGGGTGAGGGATTAGAGTGGGAATGTGGAATGGGGAAAACCTATTTGCTGAGAAATGAAACAGATTCACCCATCATGTAGCACCTGAATTTTGAGATGTCAAAAAGTTTGTATTAATGCATAAAATAATTTTCACAGGAAATGCAGAATAAGTTAAACTTCAAAGAGATAAGGTCTAAAAAGAATATGAAACAGAGAAATAGGCAGTGTGCCTCCAGGATAGTGGTGTCTGCTCTGCTTTATTTATTTTTTTTAAAGATGTTATTTATTTATTTGACAGAGAGAGACAAAGCGAGAGAGGGAACACAAGCAGGGGGAGTGGGAGAGAGAGAAGGAGGCTTCCCGCCAAGCAGGGAGCACGATGTGGGGCTTGATCCCAGGACCCTGGGATCATGACCTGAGCCGAAGGCAGATGCTTAACCACTGAGCCACCCAGGCGCCCCCCACCCCCCGCTTTAATATCTCAAAGTGCCTAAAAGGCTAAAGTGAACCCATTTAACTTCCTCTCTGAATTGTCTACAACACTTGGCAAATATGCAGCCATTGATGAGTAGTAAAACAATTTCTATACCTGGGATCTAAAAAGTGATGGCAGATGCTATACCCTCCTAAAGTCAAGAGAAGCTTGTCCTTAATAGCCCAATCTCCCAGGGACCAGCCCCTCCCATTTGGCCAATTAGATTCATAAGTTATTTTAAATACTAATGATATAGTATCGCTCTCAGTTATTCTAGTACCTTGGCCTTTAGAAGCTTTACCCTTCACTTGCAGGTCTAACCCCCGATGTGTCTGTGTCAGGAGATGGGGTCTTTTGGAAGGGTTAAATGAAGTCATAAGGGTGGGGTCTGATAGGACTCCAGCCTTATAAGAAGAAAGATCTGGCCCCGCTCCCCACTTCCCATGTGAGGACACAGTAAGACAGTGGCCATCTGCAAGTCAGGAAGAGAACCCTGGCTAGAACCTGACCATGATGGTACCCCAATCGTGGACTTTTAGCCTCCAGAACTGTGAGAAAATAAATTTCTGTCACTGAGCCACTCCGTCTGTGGTATTTTGTTATGGAAACCCGAACTGGCTCGTATACCAACTTTAAATGATTTAAGGAAAATAAGTTTTATCATAAGGATATTGTTGTTCAGAAGAAGAGCTCACAGAGTTGCTGGGAAAGCAGAAGGACCGACCTTAAAATGGGTAGGGATCCAAGCTGTTGCAGAGGGATAGAAGTTGGTGCTATAAGAACAAATTCCATTGCTGGATTGAATGAACAACTCTCTCACTTGTCCTTGTGGCATTTACTCAGGAGTCAAATTCTCACTCAGAAGTACCCAACTGGCTGAGTTTATGCAACTTACTTCCCCCTTGACAGTATAGGACAGTAAAAGGAAAGATATAGTCAAAGAAGCCTTTGGGGACCCCCTCAGCTTCTACAGTGGAAAAGCAAACAGCTGGTCTTACCACCTAACAAAACTGTACAGTAGGGAGAGCTGATACTCCAATAAACAAGTCAGAGTATTGTTAAGAAGAGGTAAAAAAAAAAATCGTACTGGGGCGCCTGGGTGGCTCAGTTGGTTAAGCGACTGCCTTCGGCTCAGGTCATCGTCCCGGAGTCCTGGGATCGAGTCCCGCATCGGGCTCCCTGCTCAGCAGGGAGTCTGCTTCTCCCTCTGACCCTCCTCCCTCTCATGCTCTCTGTCTCTCATTCTCTCTCTCTCAAATAAATAAATAAAATCTTTAAAAAAAAAAAAATCAAGCAGGGAGCACGATGTGGGGTTCGATCCCAGGACCCTGGGATCATGACCTGAGCCGAGGTACTAATGTCTACCACACTGTTATAAACAGAATTTGGATATGAGAGCAACAAATGGGGCATTCTGCATAAGGCAACATTATGAGCAATGGTGCAATGGTATATATGGAGGTGTATGTAGAAAACGGTTTTGTTCTTGACATTTCTCTTCCCACAAGTCTAAAATACTCTGTGACTTTATTCCCATGGCTTCCACTGCAACCTGTACACTAATGATTCTCAAATTTATCTCTTTTATAGACCATGACACTTACTTCCAAACTTGTGGTAGATTGTATTATTGTCTCAAATTATTTACTTCATTTCCCTGAAAGAGGTTCACATTTCCTGGCTTGTTTACCGTAAGAATTGCAATGCTCCCTCTGTGGGAGTACACTTCCTTACCCCACTGATGCTGACTTTGGCCGTGTGACTTGCTTCAGCTTATAGGATGTAAACTGATGTGACATCGGATGCATCTGAGCAAAAACTTGAAGAGTCATTGCAAGGTTGGCTCTGGGCATGCCTCTGATGAACACTGCTATCTAGGCTATGATCAGAGAATGAAGACAACAAATAGAACAGAGCTGCAGTTGATACATATTCTAAGCAAGAAACAAACTTTTCTTATTAAAAAAAACAAATTTGGGATTTGTTTCTTACCACAGTCTAACCTAATGAAATACGTTTCTCTTCAGTTTTCTACTGGACACACCTTCTGAATGTTCCATGTTTCCAAAGTACCTAAAATTGAACTCCTCGTTTAGTCTTTTGAATCTGTCCTCTTTTTCTCTGTTCCTTATTTCAAAGATCAGTAAGACTGGTGATTCAATTATCTTCATTTTCCCTCAGAAGCTACCCCGACCCCACGTATCTAATATTTAACCACGTGTTGCAGGTGCCACTTTTTTTCTTTCTGTCTCTTCCTCTCCAATCCCTGAAGCTACAAAACTAAAGTCAGACTCTTAGGCATGGCATAAAAGATCATCATCCTACCTAGCCTATCACTGTATACAAGTTGAGTGAATAAAACAAGAAGGAACAAACAAGCTGCTGAAATGAACACAAAGCACAGGTTTGAGAATAATGTGAGGTTATTCTATATAAATAAAATCTAGCCTGGATCTTGAAAACTATCAGCCTTTTAAAAAAGACTTCAATCATATTTCCATTGAAAGCTAAGGTTCTCATGACCTGGAGAACTTAAGACTGTGCAAAGATCACACTGGACTGAGTCAGCAGACTTTGGCAGTTCATGTTCTCTTGGGTGAGTTTCCCAACGTCTCCAATCCTATATTCTCATCTGAAGGTATAAATAATGTCTGTTTCACTTGCTTCCCAAGGCTGCTGTGGAGATCAAATGAAAGGATTCTTCTGGTAACATTTTGAAAATTATGAAGCCTGAAAAATATATTTAAAAATGTTTAGTCCCAGTATAGTTAACATACAGTGTTGTATTACTTTCAGGTATACAATATAGTGACTCAATAATTCTATACATTCATCGGTGCTCATCAAGATAAATATACGCTTTAATCCCCCTCACCTATTTCTCGCATCTCCCACCCACCTTCTCTCTGGTAACCATCAGTTTGTTCTCTATAATTAAGAGTCTGTTTCTTGGTTTATCTCTTTTTTCCTTTGTTCGTTTGTTTTGTTTCTTAAATTTTACATATGAGTGAAATCATATGGTATTTGTCTTTCTCTGACT